AGTAGTCTAAGATGAAGAAGTACTGCTTCCCTGTAACAGCTGACGGACATGTTCTCTTACTGAAATTTTGACCATCTTTTTAGGGGTAATTCTCTAAGTACCTGCTGGCATAGAAAATTCTTCTCATCACTGGATAGCAGGCTGAAGTTGCTTAGCAGATCAGGATGCTGATTTTACCTGTAAAACAAGGTTAGAAGCCTTGTGGATGCTGTGATTGTGTGGCTTTTTGCAGAATTCCTTCAATACTTTCTGAATTAAAATCAAGATTTTGCAAAAATCTTTGGGTGCAATCTAATTATTTCAGCAAAGGGAAATTAGATCACCTCAATAGATATTTACTGGTCGAGTGAAGGCAGAGTGGCATATTGGAGAAGCAGCAAGATGAGTGGGAAAATTCCTCGAGTAGTTTCCATATTCGGCAATGGCAAGAAGACAGAGTCAGAAGGTCACCTGTCATGCCCAGGTTGAATGTGCTGGCTAGAAGACTTCGAATTCCTGTAGAAATTGGTAGACAAGTATCCTGGGGGTTTTGAAGGCTGTTAAAGTTTTTAGTATATAATTAAAATGTAATCAAAATTACATAGTGGCTTTTCTTAGCCATATTATTATTTTTCTTATCCATACTGTCAACCTGTCTGCTTAGTGTTACATGGTGAGCAGAATAGCTTGAGTGACGCTTCTTCAAAGAGAGAGGGCTAAGACTTGGAACTGTCAAATTCTGTGGCAGATTTGGAGGACAAGACACCACAACATCAGCTTCCTGCTATTAGGAGAAGAGAAACAAGATACTGTTTTCAAAATATTTGTTGATTGCAGGATGAAGGGTGCAATGACAGTAGCGTAGATAAGCAAAAGTGAGTTGGAAAACGAAGTTCATAGGAAACGAATGAAATCAGAAGAAGGGAAGGAAAGAACAGTTGAAGAAATTGCGTTGAAAATGTGTTTGTAGACCACTAGCTATTTAGATGGAGTCGGCAAGCCAGAGTTTTGTAACATGTTCGTTTATAGTTACTTAAGTTTTCTCCATCAGTTTTCCTGTCTACCTTTTCTAAGCTAAAAGGTTCAGTACTGCTAGTAGTGCACAATTTAATAGTATGCAGAAGATGGCTACTGTCTGTCTTAGAAATAAAGGAGTTTGCTTTTTCCATCCCTAATTGTGGGTGTGGCCAAAATTGAGTAATTTTGTCATGGCTAGAAAATAGCCCTGTTTCTTCAGACAGGGATTTAGTTTTTCAGGGCTGACTGGACAGCAGGATTTTTCCTATTCAGCCTTGAATCTTGATCTTCTCTTAATGTGTTCAAAAAAATTGTCAGCATACAGAGTGGCAATTTATGTAATACAAAATAAAAATGAACAGAAACCTGTGCAAGACAGGCCAAGCCCTTTAGCGCACTCAGAAACAGATGACAGAAAGAAGCAAGGGTTGTGCAGATGGAAACCACAGGGGAAAAGTCGAAATTAGAGGGTGTGTGGAGGACGTTGTCCTACAGAACATTTGAAGGTGAGAGCAAGAAGTATGAATGTGATTCAGAAGGCAATAGGGCTTCCTTTGAAGTTGGGAAAATTTGCCAGACTTTGTACAAGGTGTGTTTAAATAAAGACTGTCTGCAAGACTGGATGTAATATTTGGTTATTAAATAAAAGGGCATCTGCTCTCATAAAAGCCACCCTGTTTTGTTCGTATATGTTATTGGCTATTTTCCTACTTTGTACAGGCTTTCTATAGAATAAGCTCATGGCAGCCTGACAAATGGAGCATTTATTGTGGCTAAAAGTACTGTAAACAAAACCAAAATAGCAAGTTTTATTGGCTTTTATAATACATTACAATTTTTTAAATTTGCAGTGGTGTAGTGGAATTTAGCATTTTAGAACCCAAATGTTGTTATCTGAAAACAGTGGACTTCATTTTCCAATTCTTTTTTTCTATTATATACAGCACTGTTTTTTCTATTTGTTGCTCACACCCATGTGTTGTAAAAGCAGATTCTAATAAGAAACATTTACAGACTCAGTTGCTTGTTCACATGCAGCTCCACACAAATACGTTGCCTGCATTTGTTCTCATCTGTTTAAAAAAGTAATTATTTGCCTTTGAATTTGAAGAAAATCATGATTTGAGTCTGCTTCGCATATTGTCTTTTTATGAGCTGAAGCACGTGGAACTTTCATTATAACTAAAACAAGATAAAGTCTCCAAGGTAGCAAAGAAATCTCCTTGAAATGCCTATGAAGATTAAATATCTGTGTTTTATACAAAGATTTGATCCAGCAATCATTATTCAAGTGGGAATTCCACTGAAGTCCCAAGGAATTTTGCTGGAGTAAAGAGTTTATGATTAAATTCTGTTGGAATCGGTGGCAGTGTTGAACCTGGTCCCAGCAGGTATTAGATCCAGTCCCTTGTGCCATTATGTTCTCTTCTTAGGGTGAGAAGAGTTTCTTTGTTTTCCCAGCTGAACTTATTTTTTTTATCAAGTTCTCCAAAGTCTACTTTGAAAACAAAAGTACAAGCTGCAAAGGCAGTCTGTTAGTTGTGTGCTGGAATTCTCTCCTTCAGACCTGGCGAATGTCAAAATAATGCAGAGGTGCGCCCGTAGCAGGTGAGTGCTGGTAGTGACACAGAGTAGTTGTTGATTCATGATAAGTATGTCAATAATTGAGTTAAGTTTTGAAAGAAAAGGCTTTCTTCCACTCAGCAAAAGCTTAAGTATTTATGTCCATTATGTAAAACAAATTAGCAAGTTTTATCCATCAGTTTATAGTTTCACTAATTCCCTAGTAGTAACATATGAAAATTCAGCAATCTTAGCAGTCTTACCAGAGATACAGTATTAATGTTTGGGATCTGTGAGGGGAGAGAAAGAGGGAGAAGGGGAATATGTTTTCTTACAGTGTAGGCTGAGCCATTAAATTTGAATGTCAAAAAGTCAAGTCCTCTCTGCCTACTAAGCCTCTTAAATCACTCATAAGCCTTATTTATATTGATGTTTATGTTTAGTGTCTGTCTAAGAAATCATGGTGAAGACTTTCTCAGTTTCAGGGTGGTTTTTGGTTTAGGTTTGTTTTTTTTTCTGCACAGGCAAGATATGTCTGAGCAAGGGCTTGTTCATTATGGCTGTGTATTTTAATTTTTTTTTAAGAGAATATATGAACATATTTGCTTTTAAAGAAGAGTTTTAAAGAAAGTAGGCTATCTAGGTCTTCCAGTTTTTGCGTATTACATATGACAAAAACAATTTACTCTTCTGTTGTGTGTTTTCTGTAACGACTCTATAGATGACTTAAAAGTGTTTCTGGAATTGGTTACAAGGAAGTGAAACATTATTAACTAGAATGAAAAATGATCCATCTTCTTCAGACGCATAACGTATTTCAGGTTTTACATTTCATTTAAAATACATAAATGAAGTTACCTCACAACAGAAGAAAAACTTTCTTCCTAGAGGATTAATTGTCCTCCTACCAGTTTGAACTTCTATATCTACTGGTCTGGATTTATATTGTCCACTGCCAGGACAGAGGAGGTTTGATATTTCTTAATTATTCTGGTTTAGTACAAGATATAAAAGCTTTTAGACATCACAAAGGAACAAAAAAAAAAGTCATAATACTCTTTATCCTTTCGTTATTCCTTTGGTGGGTCACTTTTAGAAGTATTTTCTCAACTCAAAAAGTAGTATCTCTGCCTGAAAATTTAATTGAAACTGTCACCTTTAAAAATATTTATGAAATCTGAAAGGAAATTGCGGGTTATTTTTCTCCTTTCCTGACCTTGTTTTCTGTATTTGGTCTTATTGAATAATGCATGTATAACTGTGTAATCAATTTTGCATCTGTGCTGATAGGCAATTTAATTTCTTAGCGTCCAGTTCAAAAGTTACTTCATCGTGATACTCTGCTGTGGTGTTAGCACGTCTGCCTGCATTCCTCCTGACAGTGAGTTTAGAGCACCTCTTTCAAGGTGACGGATCTGAAATATGCCCTTGTGCCCTTTTTAAGTAGGAAAAGGCTATTGATGATGGGTATGGAGAAGGGATTGTCTGTCAGTCGTTCATTTAGGTGAAGGAAGATTAAGCCATAATTCTGCAGATGCTTCCGTGGCACAATGGAGCAGTCAGGGATGAGTAAGACACTTGGATAATGATGAAGCCTTTATTGGACCTGGCAAAGAAGCACACTTGGCTTTTTAAAACAGATGATCACATCTTTGATCTCTTTTCAAGGAGTAGGGCTTTATGTCGTGGTTCCAAAGCCTGTGGAAGTATTTCTGAAGTTAATCCTGCTAATGACCCGCAAAAGAAGGGACGGCTGCTAGATCCACCTATGCGCCCGCTGTTCTGCCACCAGTGCTTGTGGGGTTGCCATCAACATTAGCAGGTGTTGCAGTTGCAGAACTGAAATGATGGTTGACTTTTCAGGAGTCTTAGATACTTATTTCTTTGCTATTGCAGTTGATGTAAAGCTTAACCACTGATTAGAAGGAGGGGACAGAGGGGAAAAAAGTTTGCTAGCCTATAAACCTGACCAAACTCAAAGGAGAAAAGGTTACTAGAGGAAATATTTGCCACAGAGCATACATTCAGTTAATATACATCACTGCTAAATAAAGGCCACTTGAAAAATACCAAGTGTTCTTTTAAGTAGGAAAATAAAATCTGTTTGTATTTGTAATTAGCATTAGAAACAATTTCTCCTTTGTAAGCAGATATGAGGCCTTTAGCTTTGATAAACTTTAGTAAGCTTCCACAGAGTTGACTTTGGTTCTTAAAGCAGGTGAACAGTGCAAAGAGCTTTGTGCTTGCTTAGTTTTTAAGTTTTCTCTTCAAAAACAAATACAGACCAGAAAGTTTTTCAGTACAGGAATGTTTCAATTTTTGGTATGGAATTTGGTTTTCATGTTTTAAATTATACCAGCCAGATACATTAACCGACTAACCAGAGTTTAATGACTAGCCTCCAGAAAACGCGACTTAACGTGCTCTTTTTCTCCTTTAAGGTGGTTTCACCTAGAGTCCAGACAAGGGAAGAGAACTAAAGACAGAGGAGAAATAAAGGTCAATATTCAGTTTATGAGGAATAACATGACAGCAAGTATGTTTGATTTGTCAATGAAGGACAAAACCAAATCCCCTTTTGCTAAACTAAAAGACAAAATGAAGGGTCGAAAAAATGATGGGACGTTTTCAGATACATCCTCTGCAATCATCCCAAGTACTCACATACCTGATGCAAATGTAGAGGTATGCAGTGGTGAAGTACAAATGAAATCAAAACCAAAAAAACCTTTCCTTTTGGGACCTCAGCGGCTATCCTCAGCTCATTCGATGTCAGACTTAACGGGATCGCATGTCTCCTCGGAAAAAATGAAATCCAGCACAGTTGGCTACTCTCACCTTTTCAGGCGTCAGCTGGAATCTTTTGGTTCTGTTGATGAAGGTGGTAAGTAAAACTCATGACTTATAATTACAGTTCACTGCTATTAGAGCATTCAGAAGTCTGTTTCTTCAGTGTAGGAAGCAATTACGAGGCCAAAAAGTTAAGAATTATGGCTGGGCTATTTTTTTTTTCACTGCCATTAGTTAGTGGTAACTCATAATTGCTGTTTCTGGATGTATGAAATAACTTATGTTGGTCATAATGTATGGCAATTTGGCATTTTTTTTCTTATGTCCTCGTTTGAGAGTGTGTTGTAGTGAAGCATTGCATTCTAGAAGGAACTCTGGGCAAAATAGCATCTTGTGAAAAATAAAAGTCTGTTTAAAAAGCTGAAAATGATCACCAAAATTTTAAACCCAATTTATTCAAAGAACTGAAGATACTTTGCATTGTTCAAAGTTATTATGCAGCAATAGAATACTGTTGCTTTCTGGAATGGCACACTAGTCACAGCTGTCTTCATTGTGGAACGAAACAAAAATTTGCTGTAGTGTCTATCCATGAACATTTCTGAACCACGAGGTCAAGACCACAGCTGCTCTTTTTTTTTTTTAAATAGCTTAGTTACTCAGCAGTGTTTTGAACTGAGACTCAACTGCAAAGCTTCTGGACTTAGGCTAAAAGGGGTTCTCTGCATGTCATGAACTATGATATAGTGTCTTATTGATAATATACTAATGACAGATTGTTTGCAGGCAGTCTAAAGTCTCCACATAGAAGGACACTAAGTGTTGATACTTCTAAAATGAACCAGCTTGACAGCACAGCTGATGAAACTGCACTTCAAGCACAAAATGACCCATTTACTAATGTGAGTGCTTCGTTACCCCAAAAATTTGCTACACTGCCAAGACAGAAGAATCCATTTGAAGAAAGCCCAGTGACGTGGGATCAAAACATAAGTCTGTTTTCCAAACCTGTCGAAATCAGAAAAGAAATTAAAAAAGAGAAAAAAGAGAAAGTTAGTCTTTTTGAAAGAGTGACTGGAAAAAAAGATAGCAAGAGGTCAGATAAACTTAGCAATGGGGGCTCAGAGAGTTCTACTGACTTGAAATCACCTAGTGCGTTTGGCGAAGCTCATCAGGAGAGTTTTGATTATGATTCGACTAATCCGTTTATGACAAACTTCAAGCCTACAAGCATGTTGCCACCTTCAAGGTAGGTTTCTGCTGTATTTCAGTCTGGTATCTTGAACATGTTATATAAATGAAAATGTGAAGTGTTGAGGAACACGATCTTCGTGTTTTATATACGTTTATGTCATTGCTTATCTGTTTCTAAGTAAAAGTTATGAACTTTTTATATAGTTTGATCTTTTCTTACTTAATTTGGAAGTTTTGAAGGTTATGGTACTAATATGTGCTGTGAACGTTCTTGGGTACTTGCATTTGTGGACGACCTCGTTTGTGCTTCAGAATGGGTTCTTCCTGAAAGTCTTCTGCTTTCACTGAACACTCATTGCTAATTATTACAATGCCCAAAGTCAAGGTTTTAGAGGGAAAGGTTTCAAGTCGAAGGGAAAGTTGAAATGGAATAAATAAAAGGGTGAGGAAAATGTCAGTAATGAAGACAACTTCTGTGGATGTCACCATGTGGGGAAAAAATGGATTTAGGTTCTGTATGTTAGAGCACAGGAATTGAAGACCATTTTGTTTCTAAATGGGAGCACCCACATGGGCACTTATCACACTTGAATTCGTTTGGCTCACCGTAGCTTTGCTGACTTTCTGTGCATTCAAGTCATTGCACAAGAGAGGATTTGTGTTAAGCAGAGTGAATTAAGTTATGGGGCTGATAAAAAACTTTGATTTAAATAATCCTTTTGAATCTGTGTTTGTCTATCAACAGTTTACTTGTTTTCCTAAAAAAAAACCCCACAAAACCAAAAAACCCCAATAAACCAAAAGTGTATCCCACAGTTAGTTTCCTTTCTGGCTTTTGTTTTCTAGTGAGGAAGAGACACAGTCTCTTTCCGTATAGATATATATGCACACGCACGACATACACTGTTCCCAATAGAGAAATGTTTAAGCAGTTAAATAATTAACTTTTATTCATTTGCATTTGTGTTTTTTCTGTATATTAATGCCAGAAATTAACAGTCCTTTTTTTTCAAGGTAATAATTAATTTCTATTTAATGACTTAAATTTGGTAGAAATGTAATTTAAAATTCAAATGCTCCGAACTGGAATTTTGAGATTGTAAACTAAATCGCTGTTTTAAATGGAACACATAGTTCTAGCAAATTTGCCATTCCCTGTCTATTAATTCCTTAATTAATGACACAGTCATATTTCCTTTAAAAAAAAACAAAAAAAACAAAAAGTAATTTGATTGTTGTTATCTTGTTCTTTAAGGTTTTAGAACAGATTGATCACTTTGTATCCCAACTCAATTTTATTCATCGATTAGAATGCATGCATTCCTGATTTAAACTTAGTCATTTTCTCAGCAAAACTAATCACGGATGTGAATTAGATAAATGAACTGAAATGGAACTGCTAGACAGAAGTTTTGGCTGCTAGAAGCTCGTACAGACTTCAGTGATTTATCTTCTTAGTGTCTGCTACAAGTCAAGTCAGTTCCTAGTGTCTTAAATTACATGTTTACAGACAGAGCCTTAGAATATTATTTATTTAATAAAGGATTTCTCTAGATTAGTGTAAGGTTGGGATGTAGCTTGGTTTGTCAGAAGTTAAACTTCCATTTAAATAAGCTCCTTTAAAGAGTCGTAATTTAAATAACAATTAAAATTACATAGCATTTAATTTTTTTAAAATGAAAAAATGTATTCAGGCAGATGCTAGATATAAGTAGTGAAATCTTTTGAAGTTCTTGAATGCAGCAGATCTTGATAAACATAAATCTTTAACGGTAATCATGATGGACTTTTTTTTTCTTTATTTTGTAATTAAAAAGCTCATCACAGTGCCCATTCAGAAGGACTTAGTCATTTGTTCCCCCTCTTTGTATGAGTCTCTTTTAGTAGTTCTTGACTTTTATGTAAACATAAACTTTTGATAAGACAAATAGATACTCTGTTATTTTCAAAAAGCTAAAAATATTAAACATTTTGACCTTTTCTATAAGACAGCTACTATGGAGTAATATCTAGCATGCAGTAATTTAGGTTAGAAGCTCTCGATTTTTATATGCTGCAGTATTATGTTCTGTGAGAATCTTTTAGACTAAGTTCACTTTCTTTCAAATGTATCTTGTAAAATGATTATCTTTTGAAGTAGAAACTAATACAAAATGTGCATATTTAATAAGTTTACAGTTTAAGTTTACCTTTTATCTGTGGAAGATTTGTTGAATAGAATCCACTTTTAATTTTTCAGACTAGTAATACTGTGAAGAAAGAATTGTGTAAATCTGTGGGCACAGAATAAATGAGGTTGAGTAACAAATTCAGTATGCAGAAAGCATACACAGGGAATTTAAACTTTGAGTTGCTTTTTATTTACTCAGCATGCTATTAAGCTCTTTTGGATGGATACCGTTTGCATGAGTAAACCAGGCAGTATCTTTTAATTGAGGTGTGTCCAAAATCAGTGTTCTGGTGTGGATGAGGAGTTTGTTTTGCAGGTGGATCTCCCAGTTCACCCCACTGAGCTAAGCCTTTGAGTGATGGAATGGTCCTGGGGCACATGACCTGGATTCCAGTCTGATGTAACACAACCAGAAGATGTATTGCGGGAGCACACTGTAGCCACAGAAGGGTGCTCAGTCCATGGGACCAGGCTGGAGGTGGTGCAAAGTGGGAGAAAAAAACCCACATCAAAACCTTCTTCCCACTCCCCAACTCCTTCATGTGCATAGTGTGAAGGTCAGGTTCTTAGCACCAGTGGACCTGTGTCTGTAAACTTAGTGGGAGTCTTTTCAGGGACTGGTGAGCTTTGGGCCAGGTTTAAGTTTGTCCTAATTAATTGTGTTTGGTGATGTTGACTAAGCAGTCATGATGTGCAGGACAGCAGCTCATGAGAGCATCCCTAACTGATGGGTAGGTGAGTTGCAGAACAGAGTTGCTGATAGCTCTTCATCCAAACAGACATTAGGGCTAACGGGCTGTATGCGTACTCTGTCACTAATTACTCTTATTTACTAATTAGAAGAATGAAGATAAATACATCTTCCTCCTGTTTCTCAGCTGCTGATTCAGAAAATGTAGAATTGGTTCAGCAAGTTACAGGATTTTTTTTTTTTTTTTCTAAACAGAAGAAGTATGCCGGGATTATTTGGAAATTATGATTTATTTTTATTATTGTTAGTTATTATTGTTCTTTCAAGAAGGTTTAAGAAATATTTTGGAAAAGCAAAACAAAACCTGTTTGTGTATAATACTAGTTGCCAGGGAATCACAAAATAAGGACCCCTAATTTCTATTTATCTCTGCTGTGGCAAAGGCCTCTGCTGTGGCTTTGACTAAATCACTAAGTCTCCCTGCTCCTGATCTGTAAAATGGGGATGATATTTTGTTACCTCTTACAAATGCTGAGTTAATAAATTAGTATTTTTAAAGGGTTTTATAGATACAGTATTACAGTATTACATAAGTGTTAAGGTTGGGTTTTTTTGTTGTCTGGTGTAGGTGTAATATAGATATTTATGAGCTGATTTCTTGACAATTTAAAAACACTGCAGTCTCAGAGTGAAACAAGAAATGCTGTTTTTGCAAATATTGGTAAATCTGTTCGTTCCAGAGGATTTATATTGTACAGCCAATGAACAGTTTTTAACCACACAGTATGCCTGGTATTTTTAGCCAGTACTTACCAATAATAGTTTTGTCTTTGTACTTCTTAATCCACTGCTTTGAAACTTTTACCTAATAGCGTCTTAAATTGCATTCATCCTTACAATTAGTGCTATTGTCATGGCTCTCAAGAGGTTAATTTGCAGCCAGGAGCCACGTGGATTTGGTATTGAACACAGTTAAAGAAATTGAGGGTGCTCCTGGAAAACAAAGATTGTGTTGTGCCATGACCAAACCTGGAGCATCATTTCTCTGAAATTGTTTGTGTTTAGGAAAATACACTACAGTAGGCTAATAAACTGATGTGAAAATTTCTCAATTTACACCACTTGACAAGTGCTAAAAGAAAAGCATCTTTAATTTTAATGTGTTATTAGGACCTTTTTAGAGAGATTGTACAAGTTATTAACAAGGTCCTCCGAGACAGGAGACGGGTAATTAACAAGACCTACAGAAAGAGAGTTTAGGTAATTAACAAGATCTTAGGCATTGGACACAGGGAAACAAATAGCCCAATATTTAAAGCTGACAGGTTGTTACTAGTCTGATCAAATTCCCGATCTGGGAAACTGAATTAATAGGTGTTTGGGAGCTTTCAAAGAAACATTATATATATAAGATATATATACACACATACACACATTATAAGTGTGTGTCTGTATGCACATATATAGAGAGATACATTAAACCAAAATTTTTAAAGTAGCACTTCCATGACCAAAGTATTGTTAAACTTAGAGAAAAGATAAAGCTTGTGCCTTCATACTGGTTACACTGTGTCTCAAGTTCTTGCAATAAATGTGTTACATTCTGAGCACTATGGAAGGTGGAAAAGTGGAGGAGAAAGAAATGTGTATCTTACTGGCATTCACTGCAACAGTTATATATCGATCTATATATTATATATATACATTATATATTATTATATATTTAGAACATTAGTTATTGGTCAATTGGAGCATAAAATGCAAAATATTTGTTCAAAATGTTGATATCTTAACAAGTTTATTACTGTGCTTGCTAGGGTAGTACAGTCTGTTCTGACATTTTAGCGTATATTTCTCTGTTAGTCAAAAAATGACATCAGGTGAACTATGCTGTTTTCAGAATTTTGTTTCCTCTGTCAGTGTTAGCATGCCATATTTTAAGAACAGCATACTTCAGCATTACTTTTCTTGAAATGCAAGGATTTTTTTCAGTTCTCTACTGAAATTTGACTTCTCTCCAGTCAACTGTGCTTATCTATAGTCTAGGTAGAATATTGATAGGCTACGACAGTACATTAATTATACTGTAGACTGTTAATATTTATTAATTCGATGCAGTAAAGCTGTCGGTAGAATATTATTTCAACAAAACATATACATTACAGGTATGTGGGAGGTAATGGGAAATGACAGA